CTGACTCCTTCCTAGAACAAGATCAGCCAGAAGCCAATGATAGGCTACAGTCAGAGAGCATGTCCCACAGTCGGAAGGCACGTTCTTCTGCTGACCACATTGTATAAGCATTCAATCTCTAAAGGCATTCTGTGGTCCTGTTTCTTGTGAAGGGCCTTCTAAGAGTGAAATAAGACAGCTTCATAGCAAATATGTTTAAAATTAGCAAAGTCTAACGTTAGAGGAACTGCAAAAGTCAAATACTTTCACTGTGTATTTTTAACTGCGGCACATAAAATTATAAATAGACTCCTCTGTAAAGAAAAAAAAAATTCCCCAACAGCCAGTCTTCATTGTCAAACACACACGAAGTCACCACAGATGCGGTTCCAATGGGTATTTACTCGGGACAGGCTGCAATGGTGGTATCTACGATTTCTGCATGATAACCCCCTTCGGAGTCGCCCCGTGCCTTGTAGAGAGGAAGTGGCACAAGGCAGGCCAGAGGATGGCAGAGATTTCAGGCCACCTCCTCTCACGGTCTCTCTTGGTGAGGATCAACGGGTTGTGTGTCACCTGCTCCTGAATACCTTCTGGTGACTTCTCACTGCAAACTACAGGTCTACCTGGCTCATTCGGCCCGAGTACCACTCTCGGCCTCTGGATGCCCATAAAGAAGGGGGCTGGGCTACCAGGAGCAAGTGGACATGTTCTGTGACACAAGAAACGCGACACTTCCAAAAGCAGGCAGCCAACGGGGCATTTGAGAACAGCACCACCAGAAGTACCACTTGTATCATCCAAACAGGGGCTTCAGGCAAACACCAGGCAGATAAAAATACTAGCAAAACAGTAGGAGCTGGGAGAGTGTTGCTGTTTTCCTGCGTTTACTGAACCAACAGTCGAGGTTATCTCAAGGCAGCTCAGCGAGAGGAAACATCCCAGCACAGCTTCTCCGGCGCTTCCCATGGAGGTGAGCGTAACTAAGACTTTCAACACGTGTGGCATCGACGCAGTTTTCAGCACAACCTTATTGAGGGGTTAGAAGCCACTTAATAACACGTCTGTTCTGAGTCACAGGTGCTAAGTTACACAAATGTCTTCTACAGTCTAAGGATGGGTCATCTCTACTCTGTGACCAATAAAAACACTTGCGCCAGAGATCAAAAGGTGATCAAAATGCAAAAAACCCACTGCCATCCGGTCAAGGCTGACTCATGGCGTCCTCTTGTGGGTTTCTGAGCCTGTAACTGTTTACAGGAGTAGAAAGCCTGGTCTTTCTCCTGAGGAGTTGCTAGTGGTGTAGAACTGTCAACCATGCAGATTCGCAGCCCAACGTGTCCTCACTACACCACCAGGGCTCCTGATCTAGCTAGTTAAAATCAATCAGTTAAGGCTAATTCAGTATCTGGAGTGGAAAAGCAAACTCTTGTCAGAGAGGGGTTAGAGTGGGCACTGCCCCCAGCCCCACCCCACTTCAAAGCTCGGATCTATAGATACTAAAATAAGTGCTTATCACATGTTTTCAGTGAAAGCAACATCAGAAATCAATGAATTATTCTCAACAAGTACTCATGAGACACTTGGGAACGCCCTACTTTGAACTCCCAAAGAGGTGAAAGCAGAAATCCCATTTACAGAAAGAAGCCTACCCGGTAACTGGCAAGACACCCTGAACACCCATGAATAACAAAGAGCTAAGAATACCACCCAATTCAAGCATTTTAATGAGCAGGAAGGATTAAAACACGTGCAGCTGACAATCAGGTGTTATTCTGGGCAGTGAGATCTACCTAAAATTCCATCCTAAGCACACAAGAGCCTTCCTTATCAGATAGAGGGCCAAGCTCTGGTGGTTTTCGGAAGTAGCCTGGAGCCAACTCCAACTCCCCTGTAGGCCTCAAGGGGGTTAGAGTACTGAGCTCTGTAGGGTTCTCAGGGGCTACTTTTGTAGGCCATTCTTCGGAGGCACCTCTGAATGGCCCCGATTGTTAAATGTCTGTTTAGTAGCCCATCTCGTTGGTTAACTGCTTGCATGTCCCCAGGAACACCCCCAGATTTACCTCTGCCGCTATCTCCCACCACCTTCTGGCCTGATCTCACTTTGCACTCCAGCCATACCTGCTGCCTAACAGTGACTGGAAGGAACCCTGGTGGCGCAATGGTTAAACACAGGCTGGTAACCAGAAGGCTGGTGACTCAAAACCACCCAACAGCCCTGTGGAAGCAAGCCATGGCAGCCTGCCCCATAAAAACGAAGGCTTAGACTTGCAGTGGTTCTCAACCTTTCAAATGCTGCGACCCTTTCATACAGTTCCTCATGTGGTGGTGACCCCCACCCATAACATTATTTTCGTTGCTACTTCATCACTGTCATTTTGCTACTGTGATGAATCGGGTGACCCCAGGTTGAGAAGCGCTGGCTTAGAGACTCACCCGTGGGGCAGCTCTACTGTGCCATATAGGGGTGGCTGTGAGTCAACTTGACACCACCCAACCATAGTTGCTGGCCTCCTGTGTCCCACACCCACCAAATCCCCACTCCACTTTATGTTCGGAATCTTGCTCGCTCCTCAAGACGCGTCCCACACTGAGCTGACATGAAATCTCCCATCCCTTTTTTGAAGGAGCCCTGGTGGCACTGTCA